GTCCTAACACTGTGTGATGTGTGGAAAGATGGATGAACAGCTCCTGGACACAAGGGGCAGGGATGGGGCCGCCTCTGCCATCCTGGCTTGCCCCACAACCTCTGGCCAAAGGCAACCATTGCTGACCGAGCAAGAACACTGCTGACCATGGTACAAGGGCGTCTTGCCTTCGGGCAGGGTGAGCACCTCCCTCCCAGAGTTTGAACACTGACTTCCTCTGTCACCAACTGCAGCCATCACCTTGAGGATGAGGTGATGTAGACATGAGTTAGAGCTTTACGGTCTTTTATTAGTTGCCCTACGACTTCTCCCAGGGGTGGGAGGGAACGGTATCATCTTCCATTTTATAATCACATTAGCAGAGGCCCAGAGAGGGGATGGGACAGCCGGTCACCTGACCAGTTCAGGTCTAGCTGCCATAGGTCTTTCTGACTCATTGTCTTGTGAGGATGAGTTCTCAAGACAATGTAGGTGACACCCAGCTGGAGTGCGCAGGGACTCTGTGTCCAACTGGTGGCTCAGACCTCGCAACTTGCCCCTGGGTGATACCAGGGCTGCAGTTGCTGGAGCCATGGGACTCTGGAAATGGAGATTCCCAGTGCCTGAGGGATCTGGGTGCCACCCCAGAGCACAACTGTCCTGGACTTTCCAACCCACAGCCTCATCTTTACTTGAGGCCATAGCCCCAGTCTCCCTCCCCTGTGATTTGGGACAGGACTAGAATCCTAGAGAGGAAGCGCCTCCTGTTTCTCTGAACTCCCCCCTCAACAGGACAGGCCCCCTTAGCATGACCTCCTCCCCATTAGCTCTAGGACTCCCTGCTAGGAAGCAAGTGGGAAGACAGAAAGGTCGGAAGCCCTCAAGACATCCTCACTGAGGAGACAGGTGAGAAAGAAACAAGCCACTGCAGCGTAAGGTGGTGCCTGGACAGACAGATGGACACCAGACATGCCCAGGAGCTCCAAGCAGGCGAGACCCCTGAGGGCTTCCTGGAGGAAAGTGGAGCTAAGATTCAGTTTGTAGGACAGGAACAAGAGGTAAAATGAATATCCAAAAAGCGTCATTGTTGATTTTTCCCTCTTACTTAAAAGAGAGTACAGATGCTTATAGAAAACCAGGTGATACAGAACTAAGGAGAAAGTAAAATAATAACAACTAATGCTTGTTGGCTGTATGCCAGGCAGTGGTCTAAGTGCTTTACATAGACTCACATTTAATTTCTACAACAGCTCTATGAGGTAGGTACTACTGTTATTCTCATATTATACATAAGGAAACTAAGGCATAAAGAGGCTAACTTATTTGCCAATAAGTACTTAAGTGATGGAGCTGAAATTTGACTCAGGCAGTTTGACTCCAGAGCCAATATCTCAAGCAAACCTGCAACACAAGTAACCCCTCTAAACATTATGCATACACTGAGCATTTACTGTGTGCCAGCTACCCATCTAAACTCTAGACTCTTGTAGCTGACTGTTGACTGTGGTCTCCCATCTGAGTACGTAGGATAGCACAACATGATTTCTGGAAGTAGCTTGTTCAGCCTCTTCATGCCACGGTGGCATTGAGGTGGTCTAGGCAATGCTGCCGAGCCTGTATGAGGCCTGAGTATTCATGAAGCGAAACAAAAGGACTTGAGAAAAGGAAGGATTATGTTGCAAAAGACATTGAGGACCATGAAAAGGTTTGAACTTGAGCCCATTGGCAGTGAGAAACCATGCAGCCTCCAGGATCAGGGATGCCACAGAATGAGAATGATGCTTTAAGAATATGTATGTGGCTGGGCTCGGTAGCTCAGCCTGTTATCTCAGCACTTTGGGAGGCGGAGGCAAGTGGATTGCCTGAGCCCACGGGTTCGAGACCCACCTGGGCAATTTGGCAAGACCACATCTCTACAATAAATCAAAAAATTAGCTGGGCATGGTAGCAGGCACCTGTAGTTCCAGCTACTTGGAAGGCTGAGGCGGAAGGATCGCCAGAGCCCAGCAGGTCGAGGCTGCGGTGTCCAGGAGCGTGCTACTGCACTCCAGTCTGGATGACAGAGTGAGACTCCAACTCAAAAAAAAGAAAGAATATGTATGCATCTAGAAGGGAATTTGGCAAAATATGCCATAATTTTGTTTGTTTATTTTTGGAGACAGGGACTTGCTATATTGCCCAGGCTGGATCTAAATGAACTCCTAGGCTCCAGGTATTCGCTTGCCTCAGCCTGTAGCTGGGGCTATAGGTACATACCACCACATCTGGCTTTTTTTTTTTTTTTAAGTTGAAGTCTCACTTTGTTTCCTAGGCTGGAGTGCAGTGGCACACTCCTGGCCACCACAGTCTCGATCTCCTGGGCTCAGGCAATCCTTCTGCCTCAGCCTTCCAAGTAGCTGGAACTACAAGCATGATTTATTGTAGAGATGAGGTCTCGCCAAGTTGCCCAGGCTGGTCTCAAACCTCTGGTCTCAGGCAATCCTCTCCCCTCAGCCTCCCAAAATGCTGGGGTTACAGGCTTGAGTCATCACGCCCGGCAGACACCTGGCTTTTTATTTTTTTTAAAAATGGTGTTATTGAAAGGTAGTATGTACCCAAAGTCAAATATCTCTAAGAGTTCAAAAATCAAGTGGTTTTTTTTTTTTTTGGCCTGGTATGGTGGCTTACACCTGTAATCTCAGCACTCTGGGAGGCAAAGGTGGGAGGATTGCTTCAGTCCAGGAACCTAGAGCAATGCAGAGACATTGTCTCTACAAGAATCAAAATATTAACTATGGGTGGTGTTGTGAGCCTGTAGTCCCCAGCTACTTAGGAGGCTGAGGAAGTAGATCACCTGAGCCGAGGAGATCAAGGCTGTGATGAGCCATGAGCATGCTTCTGCACTACAACCTGGGCGACAGAGTGAGACTCCAACTCAAAAAAAAAAAATCAAGTTTTTTCCCCAGTTCTGGTCTCTATCACCTCCTTTTTTTTTTACACTTTACTTTTTTGTTTTTAACTTAGCAAAGTATCTGGGAAACTTTTATATAAACATGTATCAATCTCCCTCCTCTTTTTGAATGACTGCATAGTATTTTATCACATGAATATATCATAATTTAATCCACTGACGAAGACAAGGATGTTTTCCCTCCATTATAATTAATGTTGTAATAAATATTCTTGTACGCACGCCTTTGAGACAAATGGACCCATCTGTCAGGCAAATTCCTGCATGTGGGACTGCTGCCTTGAAGAATAAATTCACCTCACCAATTCCACTTCTCAGAAACTGTCCCATCAGAGAAGTGCCCAAACATACATGCAAAACATATCACATTTCTTTATATGGGTAAAAAACCAGAAACAACCTGAATTCCTATCAATGTGGAAAGAGTTAGCAAAATTATGTAAATTCACATCTCAGCACTAATCATGTCAATGCATAGCTATATCCTGTGATTTGAAAAGGAGGAAGGAATATATGAGGTTAAGAAAAAGGAAAGGTTACAAAACAGCTTCATATATACTGTAATTTATGTAAATTTCTTTACATAGGCATGCATCGATATGCATGTATGTTTTCTTCTTTCTCTGTAGTGCTTGCATTTTGTACACGAGTATGTGTTATATTTATAGTCAGAAGAACAATTAAACTGTTTTGAATACATATGATTATTTCACAGGTTTTAATTTGTGAAGCACCCACTGTGTGCCCAGCATTGGGGTACCTCAAGTTGTCCAAGCTTCAGCTCCTGCCTGCTGTCTCTAGTTAATCATTAGAATCAGAGAATGTTGGAAACAGTAAAACCTAGCTCACACTCTTATTTTACAGGTGAAAGCACCGAAGGCCAGAAAAGATAAGTAACCTACCAAGGGTCACACGGCCCATTTAACAGTTTAACAGAACCCAGAGCTCTACTACCAGGCTGGGCTGCTCACCTCTGTCTGCATCTGAGTAGGAATCCTTGTTTAGGGCTGGGGGCGGGGGATGATTTTGAATGCTCTGTCCTCTGGGATCCCCTGTCCAGGCACACCCAGGATAGAAGATAAAAGGGCCCCGAATAAGACTGTCATTAGTGGGGAGGAGCCTGACCCTGCACAGGCAGAAGAGCAACTTCAGTAGGACCTGGGGTCTGTGGGGCAGCAGTCTGCAGGGTGTTAGGGAAGGAGCCTCCCTGGGCTGCTGCCAGACATCAGTAATTATAAGGCAACCTGGGCCTACAAGTAGCCCATTAAAGACGCTCACCCTGCATCAAACCGGCAAGCAGATCACAACCTCTTTGCCACTTTCTATAAGAAATCCAACCACATCAAACACTTTGGGTTTTGTGCACACTTTCTTGAATGTTGGGGTGATCCCAGGGAGCGGTCACATCACATGGTGCTCGGCACACTGCCAATTGCTTGTTCCTCCTTGACCCTGTCACCCCAATTCTGCCCCCTTCCATCTCCCTTCCTCTCTGCCCAGGCCATATCCAGTCTCTGAGAGCCCAAGTCATCCACCAAACATTGCCCCAACAAAAGGAAGCTTCCCTACCAACTCCCCTGAAAACAAAACTCCATTTCGTTACACGGAAGATTTTAGAAGGCCTTGAATTCCAGTCTTTGAGCCCAGAATCTTAGACTTTGAGCTCAAATGGCCCTAAAGAATAATGTAATGCAGTCTCTTTAGTTTAGTTGGAGTTGGAGACACTGAGGTTCTGGGAGGTGAAAGCTGTTGCCCATGGTCACGAGACACCTGTGGCTTCCAGGTCTCCAAGCTCTTGGCGGAAGCCACCTCACAAAGACAGGGCAGATAAGCCTGGCCTTTGAATCAGTCTGCTGTGTCTTTTCCTTACTTATCTCCTTCCAGGAGTGGGTTGATATTACACCTAGCAGTTGGGTTGCAACAAGGAGGCCTGCAAGACATCCAAAGGGCAAAAAGACCCCTTGAGAAGCCAGGTGAGGGTCTTCTACCATTTTCCAGGGCAGATGACCCCAGGCAGAGGCAAAATGGCATGATATCCCCATCTTTCCACTGCAAAGCTCAGATGCCCAAAATGGGAAAACGTGCATACGTTGAGGGGAGTGGACACACTCAGAGGAATGGTCCAACTCCTAAATTAGGAGTGACAGCAAAAGTGGGCAGTGTCCACGGGGGAGAGCTCATGGGTAGGCTCCCTAAGCACACAGTCTCTGACAATAATCACCCCTTCAGCAGTGAAGAGGAGACATCGTCTTCATTTTTCTAAGACTCAGGAGGACCACAGATCCAGCCAGGGTCACAGTGAATGGCAGGGGGGAGGATCTGGTTTTCAAATCCAGGCCCGTGTGGGTCTAAAGTTTGTTGGCCTGAAGCTCAGGGCTCTTCCATCAAGGCTGAGCTGGTTTATGGGTGTGTACAGGTGCGTGGAGAGGGTGTGGAGTGGAGGGAGCTTGTCCTTGGAAGAGGATCTAGACCTCTGCCTCTGTAAATACATACAGAAGACAGAGGAACTGGGTCCCAGGAGGGTCTCACCCAGGAGGTGAAAAGACAACCCAAACTGGGAGCCATCTGAGGGGTATTGTGAGAGGTGAGAATGGTTGGCCATAAACCCTAGTTTCCTCCCACTCGTCCTCTCTCTCCCCGTTCTGTTTCTTGCCAGCCTTTCTGGGTCTTTCTGGGTCTCAGCATCCCCACAGTCCAGCTCTCAGCTCTGTGTTTCGAAGGCCACTTGGCTGGAGCCACTCCCACAGTGGACACCTTCGAGGTGCACAGCAGGGCAATTACCAGGTGATTATATGTCTCATGGGTGTCACTGCTGGGGTGGAGGGCCACACCCCCGCTTTTGAATTCTGACTTTCCTGCCTAGGAGTGTCCTGAGGTTTTCCTTGTTAACGTGGGTCTGGCTGGCTGCTCTGACACGCCACTCCGTCCTGACAGTCCACACATCACCCTGCGGAGGAAGCAAGGAGTCTGTCTGGCTGTCGCATGGCAGGTGAGTGGGCAGGGCCTGGAGCCTGGGGGCACGAGGGCCCCTGGCAGGCACTTCAAGGGATGGGGGTCCGTGGAACGACACTTTGATCATTGACTGTTAGCACTTTAGAGCTGGACGGTCCACGAGCTAACCTCGTGTGTTCATGAGGCCCCAGAAAAAATCTGGCCCAGCCCACCCAGCAAGTCCGTGGAAGAGGCAGCTCAAGTGTTGCGTCCTGGGTTGGGGTCAGGCCCTCCCCCCATGCCTTGCGGGACTGCAGGAGGCGGGAGCGGAAAGGCAAGGGCAGAACTAAAGTCCCACACTCCGTGCACATGACATGGATCCAGAGACATTTCTGGGCATGGCTGGGGGCCTGTGGGCTGGGTGGGAAGGAGTCAGGCTGCTACCTCTCCTCACTTGCACCCCAAGCACTCGCAGACAAGAGCAGCTGCCTGAGGTGAAAAGAGCTCTATGACCTTGAGCAAGAGAATCTACCCTTGTTGCCTCTGTTTTCTCATCTGTATAATGGGGATTATAACACAAATTATCTCACAGGCCTGCTGAGCTGATAAGACCGAGTATGCGTTTCTCCTGACATCTAAAATCTCATGTGGGACTTGTAAACAGTAAACTCAGACAATGTTGTGACCCCAATACAGTGAGTGGCAAATTCCCTCCCACCCCAACCCAGGAACTTGTCTGTTAGATGCCGAGGCCCAACGGTGAGCAAGTCAACAGAACCAGGGGCCCTCCTCGTAGGTCTTTAAGGGATGTTTCTAATTCTTCGCCTGCTGTTTTTAATTGTTCAGTATCACTGACAACTACAGGAATGAACTCATTTATTTTTTGACATTCACAGATAGGTATTTTAATTTCCTTATCATGTTCTAGCTTCCTTTTCATATTTCCTCCTGGCAGTTAGTAACATGACTAGGCATCCCGTGCTTGTCAGGCTCCTGGGATGGGTCTGCCTAGCCAACCTCAGCCCACAGCCTGAACTGCCCATTGAAGCAGCTGGGTTGCTCCCCCTGATGGCCCTGGTGCAGAGGAGACTGGCTTTATTCTTCCAAGCTCTGTTTCTCAGGGCTCACCTAGATGATCTCCCTTCCCTAAGCATTTGATAAACTATGCCTTAAACTGTACCAAATCTAATTGCTGAGGAAGGCACAAAGTTGATGACTTGGGCCCTGTTTTCAGGTCTGTAACCAACTTGCTGGGGACCATGCCTTTCTTCAAGCCTCGATTTCCCCATCTGAAATGTCAGCACTGGGTCCATCATGCAGCATATGAACTATTGGTTGGGCTGAATTCAATCAGGCCTGCTGGGACCTCCTGGCTTCTTGGGAGGATCTGTTCCTCAGAGCAGTGGTCATGCCTACTATGCCCTCTGTGCCTGAGTGAACGAGACAGATCCTGAGTGTAAAGTGCATCCATCACCCCAGAGCACCTCCTACCCCTCCCTCACTCTGTGACAGACACCCCTAGCTGATCGCAGAATTCTTCCCTACGGAGCCTGGATGAGCTCCTGGAATACACAACAAAGTTCATCAAGTAATCCCTACTAGTTGATCAATGTTAGCAAAGGAAAGGAGATGAGACCATTTTGCTGTTATCAAATTGCAGTCATCTTTCAGTTTAGAAATTGTAAGAATTGATGGGATATTCTGCATGAGGTTGGCTCTGGTTGGAACATTGCACTGGAATGAATGGGCCCCTGCCTATTGGTGAGAGAGGTCAGCCGCTTCCGACCGGATGAGACCAGGATGGAAAGGTAGATTGGACAGTGGCCCCAGAAAGGCCCCAGGCAACTCCCCAATTAATCGCTGAGCTACGGAACTTGGGTGCCATGATGCACACTAAGGATAGGGTCATAATGGGGCCCATTAAAAACCAATTATGCTGAATCCAGAGTCTGGGAGATGTTTCTGGCTTCAGCAGAGTTTCCTGGGCTCAGCCCCACGGGGTGCCATCTCCAGGATGGGACAGAGACTTGGGAGGGTTGTATCACTCAGCTGTCTGGTGTCACCCAAGGGCGGAAGGAGGAAGAACTGTGTGAGTCAGGCCTTGCTTGAGGGCGGGGGTGTGGTGGGGAATTGAGTGGGTGGGAGGTACTCTTCCACACACAGACCCTTCCCTCCAAGCAGGACTCTGTCTTAGGCGGGGCTCGGGGCAGCTGGTGAGCAACTAAGTTGGGGAGAGAGGAAGGACAGGAGTGGTGGGCAGGGACAGGTTGGGAGGGGCCTCGAATGCCAGCAAGATGGTTGTGGATTCAATGGTACTTGAGCAGGAGAAATGACAAGCCGGCACCCATGCAGTTGGAAAAGTCCCCTCTCCTCTCTGAACCTCAGTTTCTCTTTAGCAATGGGATGGATTGAACAAGAGGAGCTGAAAAATACTCTGAGGCTGTTGTGACTGTACATTAACTCAAGCAGAGACCAAGAGGCCAAAAAGATACCAACGTGCGTAGGAACTGGGGAGGGGAGAACCAAAGGTATGGAGGACATCCGGGGAAAAGAAGTGGTGACATAAAGCCCCATCTGTTGAGCGCGCCACTCTGGACCCAGCACCACCTTGTCGGTAGGGAGATGCTCATCCTGGCTGAAGCCTGTTATCCTGGCATACTTATTAATGGCTTCTTCTTTCACTCTCAGCATTCACTCTTGGGTGAGGCATTTTGTTATTACCCTGTAAGGAAGATGTTATTATTGCCACTTTTCGGGGAAAGCAATTTGAACCTCAGAGGGCCCAATAACTAAACCCATGGCCACACAGCCAATAAGTGGATGACACGGGATGGCGTTACTTAGCAGAGCACTGGACTGGCAGTCAGAAGTTCTCGTGTAAACATCGATGATAATAATATGGTTGATAATGCAATTGCTATCAGTAAATAGACCAGTACATACCAGGTACTGGTCTAAGTACTCTGTGTGAATTAACACATTTCATCCTCCCAGCACAAGGAGGTGGGTAGTAGAGCATCACCCCCATTTTCACCAGGAGACTGAAGGTCAGAGAGGTCATTCATTCATCTCGAGTCCCACAGCCAACAAGCAGCAAAGCCTGTACTCGAGCATGTGCCTCTGAGACCAGGCTCCTGGCTACTGTGCAGAGTGAAAGGAAGGCCCAAGAAAATAGCAGAAGGCAGTAAAGCTGGAGGGGCCACAAGGCTTGGGGCGACAGGCAATTGGGGGAACACTCTTAATGCTCTTAATAGAGTCCTTCTTTTCCTGTGCCTGAGGGACACAGCCCCAGGTCTGGGGTCAGTGGACCTGGCCCTGCATGTCCCCAGGGGCTGATGACATGCAGCCCATTCTGTCCTCAGGGCCTCGGGATCACTGTCAACCAGAGGGTCTCTGGTCAAATGCTGCCTCTCCAACTCTGTCCCTGGTGCCAACCAAAAGGTTGGGTGACAATTCTCACATCAGCACACTTTTCGGGGACATGGGGGGAAGGGATGGTGGATGTTGGGGAGGGTCTGAGAGCAGTCCTTGGGGCATCAGAGGCACTTGCTACAGCAACCACAAACCACCCAAACCCTAAGAGTCCTTCTGGGTCATTTCACAGAGAAGAAAGCTGGGGCTCAGAGAGGGGAAGCAGCTTCCCCTGAGTCCCAGGAGGGATCAGTGACAGAACTGCCTGCTTGTGTCAGAGGCAACAAAACCACCTACTCTTTGCAGAAGGGCAGGCTTTGGAATGTGACAACTTGAGAGAGAGGGATTAATGGTGGCGTGTGGACAGGTAAGGCTTGGGCAGCTGATGGGGCACGGGTGTTGAGTGATCCCCGAGGGCAAGTCCAAGAAGTTGCTGAGCATTTTTTCCCTTTCCATAGCCCAGCCAGGGGAAAGGAAAGGATATTTATTCGTTCATTCATTCCACCAACATTCACTGAACATCTACTATACCCTCGGCCCTGAGCCTGGCTCTAACAACCAGAGGAGAAGGGACACAGGCCTCGCCTTCATGGACTCTCAGTCCAGTGCAGGAGAGAGACACGTAAACAAACAACTTCACACAGCATCCTTGATCGCAGGTCAAGGATAGAAGCCTTCATCTCAGCAGAATTTGAGCTGAGCACATGGAGGAGATCATATGAAGTTTATTTTAACCAGAGGTCTGAAACCATCCCATCTGCATTGCACATCTATCTCCTTACCTTGGGCTGCCCTATACGTAGGATTCCCTCCCCTGTGCCCATGAGTCTCACTGTTCTCATGAGGGCTGGGAGGACACTGACCTGTAATCATCAAAACAGTTGCTTTTCCCCTGCAGGATCTCGAGCCCCCCAGCCCTGACCTCATTGCAAAAATAGCAGGTCCTGGGGGTATGATGCTGATAAGCACAGATGACTTAGATCACCAAAAGAGCAGCTCCAGGGACAGGTCCCACAGGGACCCGAACATTGACCTCCTGGGTCATGGGGCGGGTGTGGAGCTGGGGAGGGGCATGCCTGGCAGGTTGGGATTTCCAAGTAACATGTCTGCAAAACCATAAAGGAGCAAAAGGAAGAGGTAGGTTCTATGGGGGTAACAGGAAGCAGAGCAGGGAAAAATAAGAAGTTGCAAGGAAAAAGAGCTTGGCTCAGCAGAATGAAGGACTTTCTGACACTGGGCGGTGGATGAGTTGCCCCACAGAGTCACAGCAAGCCGGGATCATGATCAAGTGTCCACCAAGAATTAGGATGAGGAAATTTGGCCCTGGGCAGGAAGTTATCAGAGACGGTCTCTGAGATTCGAGGATAATGGTGCCAACAGCAGTTCTGAATCATCCCACCCCCTCTCGCCTGTGATAAAGATGCTGATGTCTCAGAGGGTGATGGGAGCTGGCTTGGACTGTGACAGGAAAGGGAGAAACCAACGCAGAATCCTCGGGGCCTGAACCCATGACCCAAGATCCAGGAGCCCTCATCAAATCCCAAACTCCCCTTGTGTCCAGCCCTGGGGCATGCCAGGACTGAGATAATTACCACCTAATAACCTCATCCCTGCTCCCTGACTCATCCACTACTCCCCCCCCAAAACATCCTGTTCTGGCTTGTCCCTACATGGGCTGTGCTTTGGAAGTAGCAACACGAATATGTGAGTTATAGGTTCAGTGTGTCCTCAGGCAAGAAGTCCCTCTCTTCCCATCTCGGGGTCTCGGTTTCTATTGCAGCAAACGGAGACCTGCACGTCTAAAGGTTCTTGCTGACATTAGACCTGACAATTCTATGTACAGGGTACCTGGGGATTTCTTGCCTGTATTTTCTGATTAAACCAAGACCACCTGAACTCAGAGTCCTGGGAGCTGAAAGGTCTGTGCCTGCCCAAGAACTACTGGGTCTAACTCGGAGTGAAGGCTCTGGTTCTTTCCCTTGTGAGAGAATCGGAGACAGTGGGCAAGTCCCCTGGAACTGTTGTTCCTGCTCCTGCCACACGAGGTCGCTGTTGGGCACTGACCCTGCACAGGCCTTGCTTTTTCTTTTACTTTTGTTTTGTTTTGTTTTTTGAGTCGGAGTCTCACTCTGTCGCCCAGGGTGGAGTGCAGTGTCATGCTTATGGCCACCGCAGCCTCGACCTGCTGAACTCAGGCGATCCTTCCGCCTCAACCTTCCAAGTAGCTGGAACTACAGGCGTGCATTACTACACCAGGTTAACTTTTTGATTCATTGAGAGATGAGGTCTCGCCAAGTTGCGCTGGTCTCAGTGGCTGTAGGAGCTCCCAAGCTCGGGACACATGTGTCAGTTTTGTGAGTTCCTACTGAAATGTTTAGTTGTTATCTCCAAATCATGATTCCAGACTGGGGCTTCTAGCCTAGACCAAACTAAAACTAGTTTTTTCCATGAATCTCAGGCCTGGGTTGAGACGATGGCACCAACCCAGACAACTCATAAGTGGAGACCAGTTAAGAAACAGGCTGTTGTAGTCGGGCGCAGTAGCTCATGCCTGTAATTCCAGCACTTCCGAAGGTAGAGGCAAGAGGACTGCCTGAGTCCAGGGGTTTGAGACCAGCCTGGGCAACTTGGCAAGACTTCATCTCCACAACAAAAATTTTTTTTTTAATAGCCAGACGTGGTAGTGGCTTCTTGGAAGGCTGAGGTGGAAGGATCACCTGAGCCCAGCAGGTTGAGGCTGCCATGGCCGTGAGTGTGCCACTGCACTCCAGCCTAGGTGACAGAGTGAGACTCCAATTTAAAAAAAAATGAGGCTGTTGTAGTCTAGACAAGAGATATGGCCTCCTCCATGTTTTGATTATCTATTGCTGTGGAACAAACCACCCCAACACCAGGACGTTGCAGCATCAGCAGCCATTCTCTTGCTTAGGAACCTGCCAGGTGGGCAGAGCTCAGCAAGGACAGCATGTCTCTGTGTCATTTAGTAGCAACTGGGGCAGCTCAACTGGGGCCTGGAGGATCCGCTTGTTAAATGACTCAGGACCAATGCCGTCAGGTTGGTGCTGGCTGTCAGCTGGGAGCTCAGTGACTGTGAGTTGGAGGTCTCAGCTTCTCTACATGTGAGCTTCTCCACAGAGCTTTGGGCTTCTTCATGGTATGGTGGCTGGGTTCCAAGAACAAGCAATGCAAAATAACCAGGAAGAACTGTATAAACTTTTACGGTCTAGCCTTGGAAGTCACAATGTGCCACTCTGTTTTAGCCACAAGTCTTTCAGGTTCGGGGGATGGGACTCTACACCCCACTTCTCAATGAGAGGAGTATCAACATCTTATGGAAAGAAGAGTATGAGGAATGAAAGATATTACTGCAATCATCTTCACAAAACACAATCTGTCGCATTTTAACAACTAAAACATTGAACAAAGATACTGGGATATTTAAAAATTCAAACATTTTGGCCAGCCCTTTTGAGACACTGGCCCAGATAAGCCACTGTTCTGATGCCCTTGGTCAAGCTCATGCTGCGTGTTAGAGTCTGGGACTCCTGTGGGGTCAAAGATAAAGGTATCACAAGTGTAGACTCCAGAGCCAAATCTCCAGCTCCATCACTTAGAAGGCTGTGTAACGTATACCTCGGTCATTCCATCTGTGTAGTCACATTAATAATCGTACCCCCTCATATGTTTTATGAAGATTAAATGAGCTAATATTTATAAAATACTTAGAAAAGTTCTGGGCTCATAGGAAGTTTTATTAAATAAAACCTATTCAGTGGTCCAGATAACAATTACTGAACACTTGCTATATGATTGGCATCAAATAAAACAGAGCCAAGTGCCCCATGGCAGGTGCCCTTGGGCAGGGAGTACTTGGTGATAATACTTTGGTAGTTCTCAACTATGGCAGCTTGTATTTCACAGGATGGTCATATCAATATAGATCTCATCTCAGGTGTTCTTTTTACAATATGACACTGATAGATTTTCAGCAAGAGGCAGGACACATTTCCTTCTTCTTATACCTAAGCAGATCTTTGTAACTGCCTTGATCAATAGAATAAAGTGGAGGTGATAGTGTGTAACTTCTGAGGTTATGTCACCAAAGGCATTGCATCTTCCACCTTGGTCTCTTAGATCACTTACTCAGGGGAAACCAGACTCCAGGCAATGAGGACACCTAAGCAGTCTCATGGAGAGGTCTACATGGAAAGGAGTCAAGGTCCTCAATCTCCACCCAGCACCCATTTGCCACCCACATAAGTTAGCCACCTTGGAAGTGGATCCCCCAGCCCCAGTCAAGCCTTCAGATAAGTACAGTACTCCAAGTAAGAGCTGGTCAGCTGAGCTCTTCCCAAAGTCCTGACCCACAGAACCATGAAGATAACACGTGATTGTTGTTTTTCTGAGCTAAACCCTGGGTTAAGCAGGTTAGTTATGCAACAATAGGTAACTAAAACATGAGCAGTCTTGTCCCTAATATCCTTTCGTAATAACAAATATTTAATAGCACCTCTTCACCAACCTAAATTAAATTGACACATACTACTTACCATTGGGCATCACTTTTTAAAAATATCATATTCTAACTATAATGTAAGTGGTAAATAAAAGAGAATCTATTTTTAGCTGAGCATAGTGAACTACATAAATGCGTACTGAAACTTTACGGGGAGGCATAATAAAGTGGTCAGATGCTGTCCTATGCACTAAAAGCCAATACTATGACACTGGGTTTTTGAGAAAAGAAAAGTTTTTTATTGTAAATCTTTAACAAGGAGACAGGCGTCCAGTTCAAATCTGTTTCTCTGTGTGGGCTTTAAAATTTATTAGAAAAGGTTTAGGGGGTGGATTCTGGGATTAGCAGGTGATTGGTAGATGGAAAGGGGAGGTCTGGAAAGTCCTCAGGCATGCACAGTTATCTCTTCATGGGCCCAAGTGCAAACTCAGGGGGATTTGGTATAAAACATGTGGTGGAAATTCAGACTGTGATGTCACCAAACTTGTTCTATGCTAATTCCAATTGGCCATATTGGTTTCAACTGATTTGCCAGGTTTTTTTAAATCTTACAATCTGTGGGAGTTTGAGCAAGTTGCTTCTTTTCTTATCTGCCATCCTGCAAATTCAAGAATTTGTGTTCATCACCCTAGTGTCTTTAACTCTTTGGGGCATCTGTCCCAAATGCCGACTCGCTCCTGTGGGCTGTGTGGGAGACTCAACTCAACTCAGGCGGTGTTGTCATTTGGGACAGGACTTTCCAAAATCTAAACAGGGAACCTGGAAAGTTCCAAATGACAGAAGGTATAATCTTCAATTTGCATAATAGTTGCATTCCTGTGAATTCAGTAAAGTTTAAAATATTGTAAAACTTAATGAATATGTGCATGTAAAACAGGTTGAAGCCGGACTCGGTGGCTCAGCCTGTAATCCCACGCCTTGGGAGGCTGAGGTGAGTGGACTGCCTGAGCCCACGGGTTCGAGACCCGCCTAGGCAAATTGGCAAAACCTCATCTCTACAATAAATTAAAAAAAATTAGCCAGACGTGGTAGTGCGCACCTGTAGTTCCAGCTACTTGGAAGGCTGAGGCGGAAGGATCGCTGGAGCCCAGCAGGTCGAGGCTGCGGTGGCCGGGAGCGCCACTGCACTCTAGTCTGGGTGACAGAGTGAGACTCCAACTCAAAAAAAAAAAAAAATAGGTTGAATGCTGGGTTCAGATAATAACAAGTAGATTTTTTCCTACATTAATGTCCAGGAAGACAGTTGAACATTGCGTGGAACTTGGGACAATTGTCCTGCCCCATCATATTTCAGGATGTCTGACACCACTAGCCTCTCTCAATCGTTATAGTAATAAAACAATGTTACACAAATATCCAAAAAGTTCTAGGCAGTACCATCTCCTGAACCAACCCCACGGAGAACGGTTCTTCATCAGGAGCTAGACTGTGGCGGCTCTGAGAGCAAGGCCCTATCTTTCTTCTGCTGATGTTTGCTGTGTCGGCACTGCCCTGTCAGACTTTGCGCTGGAGAAGAATTACAGGCACTTCTGTCAA